GCGGTGCTGCGCGACATCGAGGTGCGCGTGCTGATGTGTGTGGTGATGTGTGTGTGTGCGTGCAGCGCGGAGTCTCCGCGCGGCGAGGAGCCGGCGCTGTCTCGCGCGGTGCTGCGCGACATCGAGGTGCGCGTGCTGATGTGTGTGGTGATGTGTGTGTGTGCGTGCAGCGCGGAGTCTCCGCGCGGCGAGGAGCCGGCGCTGTCTCGCGCGGTGCTGCGCGACATCGAGGTGCGCGTGCTGATGTGTGTGGTGATGTGTGTGTGTGCGTGCAGCGCGGAGTCTCCGCGCGGCGAGGAGCCGGCGCTGTCTCGCGCGGTGCTGCGCGACATCGAGGTGCGCGTGCTGATGTGTGTGGTGATGTGTGTGTGTGCGTGCAGCGCGGAGTCTCCGCGCGGCGAGGAGCCGGCGCTGTCTCGCGCGGTGCTGCGCGACATCGAGGTGCGCGTGCTGATGTGTGTGGTGATGTGTGTGTGTGCGTGCAGCGCGGAGTCTCCGCGCGGCGAGGAGCCGGCGCTGTCTCGCGCGGTGCTGCGCGACATCGAGGTGCGCGTGCTGATGTGTGTGGTGATGTGTGTGTGTGCGTGCAGCGCGGAGTCTCCGCGCGGCGAGGAGCCGGCGCTGTCTCGCGCGGTGCTGCGCGACATCGAGGTGCGCGTGCTGATGTGTGTGGTGATGTGTGTGTGTGCGTGCAGCGCGGAGTCTCCGCGCGGCGAGGAGCCGGCGCTGTCTCGCGCGGTGCTGCGCGACATCGAGGTGCGCGTGCTGATGTGTGTGGTGATGTGTGTGTGTGCGTGCAGCGCGGAGTCTCCGCGCGGCGAGGAGCCGGCGCTGTCTCGCGCGGTGCTGCGCGACATCGAGGTGCGCGTGCTGATGTGTGTGGTGATGTGTGTGTGTGCGTGCAGCGCGGAGTCTCCGCGCGGCGAGGAGCCGGCGCTGTCTCGCGCGGTGCTGCGCGACATCGAGGTGCGCGTGCTGATGTGTGTGGTGATGTGTGTGTGTGCGTGCAGCGCGGAGTCTCCGCGCGGCGAGGAGCCGGCGCTGTCTCGCGCGGTGCTGCGCGACATCGAGGTGCGCGTGCTGATGTGTGTGGTGATGTGTGTGTGTGCGTGCAGCGCGGAGTCTCCGCGCGGCGAGGAGCCGGCGCTGTCTCGCGCGGTGCTGCGCGACATCGAGGTGCGCGTGCTGATGTGTGTGGTGATGTGTGTGTGTGCGTGCAGCGCGGAGTCTCCGCGCGGCGAGGAGCCGGCGCTGTCTCGCGCGGTGCTGCGCGACATCGAGGTGCGCGTGCTGATGTGTGTGGTGATGTGTGTGTGTGCGTGCAGCGCGGAGTCTCCGCGCGGCGAGGAGCCGGCGCTGTCTCGCGCGGTGCTGCGCGACATCGAGGTGCGCGTGCTGATGTGTGTGGTGATGTGTGTGTGTGCGTGCAGCGCGGAGTCTCCGCGCGGCGAGGAGCCGGCGCTGTCTCGCGCGGTGCTGCGCGACATCGAGGTGCGCGTGCTGATGTGTGTGGTGATGTGTGTGTGTGCGTGCAGCGCGGAGTCTCCGCGCGGCGAGGAGCCGGCGCTGTCTCGCGCGGTGCTGCGCGACATCGAGGTGCACGTGCTGATGTGTGTGGTGATGTGTGTGTGTGCGTGCAGCGCGGAGTCTCCGCGCGGCGAGGAGCCGGCGCTGTCTCGCGCGGTGCTGCGCGACATCGAGGTGCGCGTGCTGATGTGTGTGGTGATGTGTGTGTGTGCGTGCAGCGCGGAGTCTCCGCGCGGCGAGGAGCCGGCGCTGTCTCGCGCGGTGCTGCGCGACATCGAGGTGCGCGTGCTGATGTGTGTGGTGATGTGTGTGTGTGCGTGCAGCGCGGAGTCTCCGCGCGGCGAGGAGCCGGCGCTGTCTCGCGCGGTGCTGCGCGACATCGAGGTGCGCGTGCTGATGTGTGTGGTGATGTGTGTGTGTGCGTGCAGCGCGGAGTCTCCGCGAGGCGAGGAGCCGGCGCTGTCTCGCGCGGTGCTGCGCGACATCGAGGTGCGCGTGCTGATGTGTGTGGTGATGTGTGTGTGTGCGTGCAGCGCGGAGTCTCCGCGCGGCGAGGAGCCGGCGCTGTCTCGCGCGGTGCTGCGCGACATCGAGGTGCGCGTGCTGATGTGTGTGGTGATGTGTGTGTGTGCGTGCAGCGCGGAGTCTCCGCGCGGCGAGGAGCCGGCGCTGTCTCGCGGGGTGCTGCGCGACATCGAGGTGCGCGTGCTGATGTGTGTGGTGATGTGTGTGTGTGCGTGCAGCGCGGAGTCTCCGCGCGGCGAGGAGCCGGCGCTGTCTCGCGCGGTGCTGCGCGACATCGAGGTGCGCGTGCTGATGTTTGTGGTGATGTGTGTGTGTGCGTGCAGCGCGGAGTCTCCGCGCGGCGAGGAGCCGGCGCTGTCTCGCGCGGTGCTGCGCGACATCGAGGTGCGCGTGCTGATGTGTGTGGTGATGTGTGTGTGTGCGTGCAGCGCGGAGTCTACGCGCGGCGAGGAGCCGGCGCTGTCTCGCGCGGTGCTGCGCGACATCGAGGTGCGCGTGCTGATGTGTGTGGTGATGTGTGTGTGTGCGTGCAGCGCGGAGTCTCCGCGCGGCGAGGAGCCGGCGCTGTCTCGCGCGGTGCTGCGCGACATCGAGGTGCGCGTGCTGATGTGTGTGGTGATGTGTGTGTGTGCGTGCAGCGCGGAGTCTCCGCGCGGCGAGGAGCCGGCGCTGTCTCGCGCGGTGCTGCGCGACATCGAGGTGCGCGTGCTGATGTGTGTGGTGATGTGTGTGTGTGCGTGCAGCGCGGAGTCTCCGCGCGGCGAGGAGCCGGCGCTGTCTCGCGCGGTGCTGCGCGACATCGAGGTGCGCGTGCTGATGTGTGTGGTGATGTGTGTGTGTGCGTGCAGCGCGGAGTCTCCGCGCGGCGAGGAGCCGGCGCTGTCTCGCGCGGTGCTGCGCGACATCGAGGTGCGCGTGCTGATGTGTGTGGTGATGTGTGTGTGTGCGTGCAGCGCGGAGTCTCCGCGCGGCGAGGAGCCGGCGCTGTCTCGCGCGGTGCTGCGCGACATCGAGGTGCGCGTGCTGATGTGTGTGGTGATGTGTGTGTGTGCGTGCAGCGCGGAGTCTCCGCGCGGCGAGGAGCCGGCGCTGTCTCGCGCGGTGCTGCGCGACATCGAGGTGCGCGTGCTGATGTGTGTGGTGATGTGTGTGTGTGCGTGCAGCGCGGAGTCTCCGCGCGGCGAGGAGCCGGCGCTGTCTCGCGCGGTGCTGCGCGACATCGAGGTGCGCGTGCTGATGTGTGTGGTGATGTGTGTGTGTGCGTGCAGCGCGGAGTCTCCGCGCGGCGAGGAGCCGGCGCTGTCTCGCGCGGTGCTGCGCGACATCGAGGTGCGCGTGCTGATGTGTGTGGTGATGTGTGTGTGTGCGTGCAGCGCGGAGTCTCCGCGCGGCGAGGAGCCGGCGCTGTCTCGCGCGGTGCTGCGCGACATCGAGGTGCGCGTGCTGATGTGTGTGGTGATGTGTGTGTGTGCGTGCAGCGCGGAGTCTCCGCGCGGCGAGGAGCCGGCGCTGTCTCGCGCGGTGCTGCGCGACATCGAGGTGCGCGTGCTGATGTGTGTGGTGATGTGTGTGTGTGCGTGCAGCGCGGAGTCTCCGCGCGGCGAGGAGCCGGCGCTGTCTCGCGCGGTGCTGCGCGACATCGAGGTGCGCGTGCTGATGTGTGTGGTGATGTGTGTGTGTGCGTGCAGCGCGGAGTCTCCGCGCGGCGAGGAGCCGGCGCTGTCTCGCGCGGTGCTGCGCGACATCGAGGTGCGCGTGCTGATGTGTGTGGTGATGTGTGTGTGTGCGTGCAGCGCGGAGTCTCCGCGCGGCGAGGAGCCGGCGCTGTCTCGCGCGGTGCTGCGCGACATCGAGGTGCGCGTGCTGATGTGTGTGGTGATGTGTGTGTGTGCGTGCAGCGCGGAGTCTCCGCGCGGCGAGGAGCCGGCGCTGTCTCGCGCGGTGCTGCGCGACATCGAGGTGCGCGTGCTGATGTGTGTGGTGATGTGTGTGTGTGCGTGCAGCGCGGAGTCTCCGCGCGGCGAGGAGCCGGCGCTGTCTCGCGCGGTGCTGCGCGACATCGAGGTGCGCGTGCTGATGTGTGTGGTGATGTGTGTGTGTGCGTGCAGCGCGGAGTCTCCGCGCGGCGAGGAGCCGGCGCTGTCTCGCGCGGTGCTGCGCGACATCGAGGTGCGCGTGCTGATGTGTGTGGTGATGTGTGTGTGTGCGTGCAGCGCGGAGTCTCCGCGCGGCGAGGAGCCGGCGCTGTCTCGCGCGGTGCTGCGCGACATCGAGGTGCGCGTGCTGATGTGTGTGGTGATGTGTGTGTGTGCGTGCAGCGCGGAGTCTCCGCGCGGCGAGGAGCCGGCGCTGTCTCGCGCGGTGCTGCGCGACATCGAGGTGCGCGTGCTGATGTGTGTGGTGATGTGTGTGTGTGCGTGCAGCGCGGAGTCTCCGCGCGGCGAGGAGCCGGCGCTGTCTCGCGCGGTGCTGCGCGACATCGAGGTGCGCGTGCTGATGTGTGTGGTGATGTGTGTGTGTGCGTGCAGCGCGGAGTCTCCGCGCGGCGAGGAGCCGGCGCTGTCTCGCGCGGTGCTGCGCGACATCGAGGTGCGCGTGCTGATGTGTGTGGTGATGTGTGTGTGTGCGTGCAGCGCGGAGTCTCCGCGCGGCGAGGAGCCGGCGCTGTCTCGCGCGGTGCTGCGCGACATCGAGGTGCGCGTGCTGATGTGTGTGGTGATGTGTGTGTGTGCGTGCAGCGCGGAGTCTCCGCGCGGCGAGGAGCCGGCGCTGTCTCGCGCGGTGCTGCGCGACATCGAGGTGCGCGTGCTGATGTGTGTGGTGATGTGTGTGTGTGCGTGCAGCGCGGAGTCTCCGCGCGGCGAGGAGCCGGCGCTGTCTCGCGCGGTGCTGCGCGACATCGAGGTGCGCGTGCTGATGTGTGTGGTGATGTGTGTGTGTGCGTGCAGCGCGGAGTCTCCGCGCGGCGAGGAGCCGGCGCTGTCTCGCGCGGTGCTGCGCGACATCGAGGTGCGCGTGCTGCGCTACGCCGACGAGCTGGAGGCGGGCGCGCGCGCTCGCAAGCCCGCGCTCACCGCGCAGCAGCAGATACACCACTACCGCCGCAAGCTCATCAAGAAGGTACGTCTCTTGATATTTTATTAACGCGTTGCCTACCAGGCTTTCGGCCATATAGTATTACTGTCATGAGTAAGTAAGTAATAAAAGTGTAAGTGAGTAATAAAAAAAAACAACCCAACTGCGGTGATCATTTATTGTTAATAATTGATTTAAGAATTTCGCTTGGCGTTAAAAAATATATTTTTCTCACAGGGGTTAGAAATTAAAGGGGTGAGATAAGAAGATAAATTTGCTCACAGATACATAAGGGTGTCTCTCGATAACCTTTAAAAGTTAGCTATTATTTATATGAGATTTGAACTGAACACAAGCTTTTCGTCATTTTTGAAACAATCGGGAACAGAAATGAACTCATCGCACTGCCCTATTCTAGTAAACTTTACATCATGCAAATTTTCTCATATTGTTAACCATTAAACACGTAACGAATTAGCACTTAAAATTGTATCTAACCACATTACAAACGAGGGTTAAACGTTTCCATATTCAAGAGGACTTGCTTATCTTTGAATTAATTACGACAGGGAAATGGATAACGATTTGAGTATCAGATTTTTCGCACCTTTGAAGCACCTCACTTCTCTTTAGACAATATATTGGCATTCATAAGTGCTTTTAAAAGTCTATATGAATAAATATATTTGATTTGAAACTACTGCTCATCATTGGTGTACATATTTTACTGCTTTTTCTATATTTATCCCTTACGACAGCTAAGGAACGAAATGGGATGAATATATTACGCCGCCACCACACTGCGGGATCTTTATATATCCATTATAATATGTGGTAAATTCCTTTTCCAGCTAAGAGCCCCTCTGATGAAGTGCTGTATATGTATATATGTACTCTTATTTCTGCCGCAAAGTAGCGTTGCTTGCACTGGTGGGTTCCGGTGTGAAAGGTAAAGAGAGCCAGTAAGAGAGCCGGCTGTAAGTCGATCCATCTTGATTCTCAGAGGGGACAACACATATGTAGCCTTCTTTGCTTGAAGTTGTTTGGAGCTATATGTATGGGCTGATGTAGCCACTTACTATCAGATGGGATGTAAGTTTGTTTGTCACTTATTTTGTATAAATGGAGACAATAAACCCGCTAGCAGCAGTTTTGGCGGGAATTTGACCGCCGGCTGATTGTGTTGATCCTTTGTTATTGTATAAATAATGATTTGAAGTAGATTTTGCGTGTAAAATGCGCATGTGAATTTATAGTGAGGACGATGATACAAGTGTTATGATATAAGCCTCAAGTAAATTTGTCTGGTTAGGCGCCTTAAAAACATGAGTACATTGTCGTCATCCAATCTCTGATTACTTAAGGAGTCGTCAAAATCTCCAAAAAAATACGTTATGTTCATCATAATCTATACAAATAAATAAAATTGAAGTGTCTGTTTGTAATGTTAAAAGAAACAGTTTTTTACTAAATGCATATGAAAGTATATACGGTACTAATAACAAAAAAACAATTTTTAAAATTTTTGTCTGTTTGTTCTGGCTAATCTCCGAAACGGCTGGGCCCATTTTGACGGGACTTTCACTGGCAGATAGCTGATGATATAAGGAGTAACTTAGGATACTTTTATTTTAGAAAAAGAATTAGGATTCCGCGCAAAAAATTAAAACCCATGAAATCGTATAAATTCCACGCGGACGAAGTCGCGAGGAACAGCTAGTCATGGAATATAAAAACAAGGGGAAGCCCAAAGTGGGCGGGGCAGGCGTGTCACAATTAGTGTCAGTAGAGCGTAATTGACAGTCAGTCGCAGACTCAAATTGTTGCGAGCTGACGGGTCGCTGCTTAAGTGATATATGCGAAAATAAGCCGTTTTGTGCAATTTTGGAGTATAAAAACGAAAGTAAAAATTAAAAATATTTCAAATGAAGGTGTTTCCAAAGGCGCGTGTAATTTTTTCATTGTTTGGATAGAAACTTGACCAAACATGGATAAAATGTCAAATTGCCTTTATTACAGGTAATATTCAACCTTATTTCGTTATTATAAGGTTCATCTGTAAATAAATTTTAAATAAAAATTCTGCGATAGTGTAGTGACTACGTCGATATTAAAATTTTCGATAAAACTTTATCACAGTCCTGTTCATTCACTAACATATTAATGAAAATTTGCAAATACTGGATGTCATTCAAAATATACGAAATTATAGGGTGATACCCTATGAATGAACATTTGTTAGAGTACTAAGCTAGAGAAGTAAGTAAGTAGTTTAGTAGTACTCATGACTTTTGGAGAGAAGCTGAAATAAAAGTGATCTTAATATCATTATCTACATTAGTATCCGAATTCATTATTGTCTAAAATTTAAATAAACAATTGCTAAATTATTGTTTTTTGTTATTATACTTGTTTCCATTTCAAAAATGATAATTTAGCTTACGGTCAATAAATTTCTATTAAAAACAATTAATTATATGCCGGCTATATGAATTAGGGGATATACGTAGTACATCAATGCAATTTCCCATAAATTTTGCTATTTTACTCATTGCATCATATTTTAAAGTTTTTTTTTAAATTCAGTTTCTTCAGTCAATTCATATTCATGATAATAATCACATACTGAATATCCATAAGCCAGATCACGTTCAGGTAGAGTAACTACATCACTAACATCATTCTCGTAGCATTACAGGTTAGGTAAGGCATGGGTAGGGCAATGTCATCGTTATATATATATTCTCTTTTATTTTTTAATGGCTAATCACGCGAAGATGATTGAAATGTTACATAATTGTCGGTACACATTTCTTTCTTGTGACAGTGGTTTCGCTACAAATTATGCGATTTGCTACTTCCTCTTGTTTTTTATATTCCATGATCATAATATTGTAGGGAAGTTTTGTAAAAAAATATTATCTATAAAGTACAAATTTCTTGACACTGGCACAAATACAACCATAAAAGTCAATTACCAAAGAAAAAAAACGTTTGCAGGCAGCCAAGGAAGCAAAAGAAGCGGCAGCACTGGAGGAGGCGCGCGAGTCGCCCGAGCCGCGCCGCCGCTCGCCCGTCGACGACGACGCGTATTCGTGAGTGCCGCACAAGATCTATTGTGACACATCATTTATCACCATCATCATCATCATCATCGCGATCATCTTTACAGCCCACTGCTGAACATAGATCTCCTGGGAGGGCCCAAGGGTTGTCACAAAGCACGGTCCTGAGCCAACCTGCATCCATCGCTTCCTGCGACTCACCATCCAGGCCGTCACTCCATCTAGTGGGGGCCGCCATTCACTTAGCTTGCCAGTACGAGACTGCCACTTCAGAATCTTTCTTCCCCATCGGTTGTCCGTTCGTCGAGCTATATAGCCGGCCTATCTCTACGTAGTATAAAACAAAGTCGCTTCCCGCCGTCTGTATGCTTAGATCTTTTAAACTACGCGACGGATTTTGATGCTGTTTTCACCAATAGACAGAATAGGACAGAGGAAGGTTTGTATGTATAATATACATATGCATATTATGTAATGCTTCTGTCCGTGTGTATGTGACTGAACTCTTCCTAAACGGCTAGACCGATTTTGATTTAGTATGTGTGATTAAACTGATTAAAGAATGATTTAAATTCACAATTATTGGACCCGGTAGGCGTTGTTGTGCGAAGCCGGGGCGGATATAATTCAGTGCAGTTTATATATATATATAAACTGACTGAAAAATTTTTTACTTTACCACTGGTTCGAAAAAAAATTATATATATAAAAATGTATTTAAAAAAAACGTTATTTTTAGGATTACTTCTAAGAAGTCAAAGAAGTCCAGAGAGCCATCGCTGTCGCCGCCACCGAAACGCTCCCGTCATAGGTATGTCTTATAATTTTCTTGATTTAATCGCTTCACGATCGTAGTAGGAGGATCGGATCGGAGAATGATTAATCTAGCGTCCTATGTTCTATATCACAGCCTTAGCGGTGTTTACCTGTAAGTAATTGTGTGTACACCTGTTTAAATAAATAAATAAGATAAAAAAGGTCATAGTATATAGAATAAGAACGATTGTCCACCGCCGCCGTCACCGAGACGTTAACGAGAACGAGATGACGATGCCGAGGTAGCGACAAAGACATTTACTATAGTCGCCTGTCCACCGCAAGCCCGTCGCCCGAGTGCAGTCAGCCCGGCCACTGAATCTTAGAGTAGATCGGCGCGACCGCTAGAACGACCCGAGATAGTGACGGGCTGATGTACCGGCAATACAAAACACATTTAAACTTGTCTATCCACTGCGGCACCGTGAGTCGCACCGCGCTAATGCACTAGCGCTGCAAGTAACTGACTGAGCCACCAAGATCGTCGCGGTGGACAAACGACCGCCGTCACGTCATATTGATCTCGGCCAGAAATATTCTTCTTTTCGTTGACGTCTCGGTGATGGTGGCGGTGAAATCGCCCTAAGGGGAATAAACGAGCACACATTTTACCTGTAGATGCTATGGTCTACTAATTGATTAAGAATCAAAATGCAGATGTGTTCTTTATTGCCTGAAGAACTAAGATGGAATGCCTCGTTTCCCACGTATAGCATGGCTCTACCACGTATTGCATGGTTGTGCCACGTATATCTATTTAATAACATACTATTTTATATATATAAATTAATTATTTTTATAATTTTTTCAAATGTTTTCTAGCGACAGGAAATCAAGGTCGCGGTCTCGCTCGCGTGAAAGAGAAAGAGAACGAGATCGGTCCCGTGAGCGAGAGCGAGAACGAGAAAGGGAAAGGGAGAGAGAAAGAGAAAGAGAAAGGGAGAGGGAAAGGGAAAGAGAAAGAGAGCGCGAAAGAGACAGACGGCGTCGCTCTCCAGCCACACCTCCTGGCCACCATCACAGGAAACATAGCAAACACGCCAAATATAAGTACTGACGTTGTATTGGGGAATTTTATTAAGTGTAAAATATATCAGTAATTTTATAATTTGTATTTTATTATTGTCAATGTCACACCATAACACTAATTTCAAAAATGTTATACTATGAATTTCATGCAAGTCCTCTGGGTGACGATGCATCTGTTATGCGCCTTCAGAATGTCGCCAGTTGTGTCACGCAGTGTCAACATCATTGGAAAGTTGCGGTTTCAATTTAAAAAAAAATCGGTTTCTAGTGTATGTATATGCACAACAATGCCCCGGTGATGTCTTTTTAATTTTTATACATTTTAAATGTAACTTTAAGGAATATTCGTTTGGTTTATCCATTTATAATCTAATACCAAACATTACTAATATTTAAAACATAAACATTAATTCTTACACTTTTGTAATAATTTAACTTGCCCATCATGAGATCTGCCAAATATCACATATCACCGCATTGTAAATTTGGCCCGCCCTGGTGACAGAAAAAAATGTGGATGCCCTTATTTACCACTAAATTACTACTGGGGATAAACTATCTTACAAATAACAGCAATGCTTCCTAAAGTGTTATGAAAAATCGAGTGTGATAAAATTTACACGATTTTGAATAATCTTGAAAATCATCGCCATATTTTAATGAGCGATCGATAAAATATATGAAAACAAAACAAAGAAAGCTAACCTGTTTTTAAATAAAGGAGTTCAAAAGCTTGACTCTTAGAACAGATAAATATTACACAAACACTCACGCCTGTCACCCAGAGGGGTAGGCAGAGACTACGGACTTCCATTTGGTGCGATCCTGACACACCTCTCTTGCCTCCTTTACATCCATATATCTAAGCATACACGCTCGTCGGTTAAGGGTACTCCTAATCTGGCCCATTTTTAATGTATCGCCGATTTGGTCGATAAACCTTCGTCTAGGGCGTCCCTTCCCGACCCTGCCGTTCACTTCTGCAACATAAATTTACTTTGTCACTCTTTCCTCGTTCATTCTTTCTACATGACCAAACCACCGACGCATTCCTTTCTTAATCCTTGTCATAACGTCATCTTGCAAATCAATCACAATCTTCTCTTATCACACTATTTCTCACTCTGTCATTCAGATTCAGCGCTAGCATACTCCTTAAGGACCGCATTTCTACAACATTTATTCTACTCTCATGCTTCTTCTGCCAGACCCAACTTTCGCTACCATACATTAAAGTAGGGACTAACACAGCATTATGAATTGCCATACGTGAATACGTGCCTTATTTGACATATTCTGACTCCTCATAATAGCGTGTAGAGCCCCATTCACTCTATTTCCTGCGTTCACTCGTCGTTCTATAATACTTATCATATCTACCATCCCTGCTAAAAAATATTAGTTGTTAAAAATAGAGGAGTGCAAGGAACATAGAAACGAAATATTTTTATCTGTACTGAAGGGATAGTATAACAATGAAGGGACAGAAAGGAGTTTTAATTTTTACTAAAATATTATTTTTTTATCGTTAATATAAATACTGTCACCAATAATTGCTTGCCAACTTCTTCCCATTCACGATACGATAACAGACAGGTGAGATATCTCGACATTAATGCTAAATATAAACCATGTTAAAAATAAGTGCGAAAACGTCAAAACAATATTTCGTTTTCCACTCTTAGGTGCACTACATCGCGTTTTACTTACGCAGGACAACGCGTGTAGGTAACGTTTATAATACCTTTCGAGCAAAGTTGCTGCTCTGTTAACGGCTTATAAATATTTCCACTCATATATTCGAATTATTAAGACACCTAAATGGTATGATTTGGGAGTAATAGATTACCTTACAAAGTAATTAATAATCAATTTTACAGTGTGATCCTCTACTATTTATATAGGTCTTACGTCACGAGTGACAGTTCTAGCCCAGTGCCAGAGGAGATACAGTATATAGTGTTGCTTTAAATTTTGTTACACAGTTAGCATTCATATTATTTATATTCCTTGTGCTCGCAAAACTGAAAATTATAAGCTTGTACTTATTTATGCTAGGCGTCCGACTCCGATAGCGATGTAATTTGTCATTCATTTTGCTGTTATTGCATAAAATACATCAGCGACAGTAACCACTGACGTATTTTATACGGGCTTTCGGGTCGCTGTGTGGAAAAAAATACGCTCGCAGAGGCAGTTTCATACAAAATTAAAACTGGCGGATTTTTACGTTGCGAAGCGGCCCGCCTAGAGGACGCCTAGGTTTATCTTGTTATTTTATTTTAATGTTTCGGAACACCAACAGCTTAAATATCATAAGAAAATAACATGTTAATTACACACAGGAACACTAATAATGCAAAATTAAAAAAAATCCTTTTTTTATAGGATACAAACGAGCACACAGTCCATTAGATGGTAAGTGGTTGCTGCGGCCCATAGACATCTACATCTATCCTCGTTTGCGATTCAAAATGCAGATGCGTTGTCACCCATGAGGACTATGATGGAATGCCTCTTTTCCAGTAAAAAGGGTATCCGGTTCTCTACACTCACCATACGAAACACAGCAGTGTTAAGCTGCTATTTTACGCTGTGAGAGCGTGGTCCTACCGAGCCGACCCATTCGTGCTACGACTATACTACTAATATAGCTGCAGCATGACTATACCACGTAATAAAATCCTATTCTATTATCTTTATATATAAAGATTATACGTTGTTCGTTAGTCTCGTTAAAATTCGAAAACAGCTCGAACGATTTTGAGTGGGTTCCTGGATGGTTTAGATACACACATGTGGCTCTGTTGTCTAGATATAGAATTCACCCGTGCGAAGCCGGGGCGGTTCGCTAGTGTTAAATAAAACAAGAAAATTAGTAAGTATCAAGATTATATTATTATGCGACATCGGATATCTGAAAAAATAATAAAAATTGATAAAATGATAAAACGGGTCACTTAATACAGAATAACCTTAAAGTAGTACAATTTTATTATCCTTGCCAGGCTAAGAGATTGAATAACATCACAAATATTTAAAACACATAATTGCTGCAAGTAAATGGTTAATAATAATCTGTTTTTTTGTTCATTTTTAACTATATTACATATATGTTTGTTTTACAAAAAAATAAACAATTGGTGCCTAGCTCAAAAAATTATACAATTATGTCACAAATTACATTCGCAACTAGAAAAAAGGCTCATTTGTTATACTTTCTGCCATTCTTTTAACTAACTCTACAAGCTGTTTTCTTTTGCTAACCAGTATGAAAAAACCTGTAAATTTTAATAAGACAATTCATTTAACATAAAAAAATATTAATTAAAACATCTCAATTTTATATAAAACATTCACGTATTTTCATTAATTGATTATATATAATATCAGAAGTATAACATGATTGCAAATAAACTTCTATGTACACATCCTCATAGCCTTGCAAGATACATGAATTAGTGTTATTACTTCGTCGACTTATAAATTCTAAACTTATATACTTATACATAAATGTAAAAACGTCTAAAATTTAAAACGAAAACAATAATACTGAAAGGAACTCAACGCTGTAAAAACTAAAAATAACACAAAATCTACAAAAAGTTCATAGCCATACGTTTAATTGATTTATTTGGAAATATATGCTAATATCTAAACTCCGCTTATTAGTTTTACTTAGGTTTTAGCGTGAGTCTGGTGCGACGGCGGACTGAGAAGGTTGACGTTCAATAAAAGTCTGACCTTGTTTCATGAGCCGCGAAATTTTATATTCGCGGTACGCCGTCTCTCTAAACCTCTAAGCATACCCTAAAAGTGACAGCGTCTTTATTAAAGAATAAACTGACTAAAAACTAAACATCATGCGGTCTCATTGCAACGTAGTTTATAGATTGTCTTGTTTAAACTATAACACATCAAGTTTTGTAAGACTGATTAAGTATACAATTTTGTAATAAAAATATCCCCCACTTTTGGCTTTATTACAAAATAAAAAAGTTTTACATATTAATAAAGAGCGTTGTCACTTTTAACTCTTCCTTTATTCCAATACTCTGAGATATTACCACAGTGTGCCAGTACTTCAATAACGTTCGATTGTGTTTTCTAACTACTAGTTTTACACGTACATGATTCAAAATAATATAAACTAAAGTTAAAACCTACATGTCCAATCAATGGGCACATGCCACTTATTTCTAAGAGGATTAAAGGGGAGGACAGGGAGACATTAAAAAGCAAGACGCTGCACGCTCCGCACGCTGCTGCAGTGAGTGTTATCACAGTGTAGTGATGTGTATCCAAATTAATATCGTGTAAGTACTTTTAACGTAGCATTTGTTTACAGTTGCTTCGTTAAAAATATAATCTTATAATCTACTTAAATTAAATTTACAAAATATGAATAAAATGTGCAACGTACTTTTTTTAGGTTGAAGAACTGGCAACACTGCGGTGTTTCTCTGACTAAAAACTAACGCGATCATAATTTTACAACTACCCGTAGCGATGGAATGTATAAAAATATAATTGTTCATATAATCACAGACTATTGCTGTAAATGACAATATTCTAGTCTAGGGTAAATGCCAAAAGGATCCCTGAATATCTATCTAGTGGACGAGTAGTTTAATCATTTTACTAGTTAAGGATCCTTTGGGAGACAATGGAGTGTGATAGAATTGTATAGTTTAAATTATTGTCCCGGTGTAATAACTGAACTGTAAAAGGGAGAGAAATAGTGAATTATAATGAACGGTATTAGATATTTCATTTAATACAAATTAATTGCTTGTTTTGCTTTGTTTTTAAATATTTTTTGATTAATAATGAAATAAATTCATGCATTAAATTCTTTTTACAACTCTATGCTTTATTTATATTCCCTTATGCCAATACTATAAAATATGAAGTCCATCAAGGCTTAGTAAAAATAAAACGTCATTTATTCCGATTTATGGGAATTAATTCTCTACCAATACTTACATTTGTGATACGCGAGCCCTCCCTTAATTTTACAATTCAGCATTAAGGAAATACCTGAGTTTGAAGTAATTTATAGTATTTAAAATGTAA